TTCTTTCTATTTAATTAAGAAAACTATAAAAACAACAAACAAAGAAATGATATGAAAAGCTGAATGAGGGGCTTTTCACTGGGTTCCAGAGTCTGAAAATAAGGGCTTTATATCCACAGTTTCAATTAGTGCAGGTCAGAGGAAAAGGTGCACAAAGCCACTGGTATTTAAGCTGTCTTTCCAAGAAGAGCCCCGGCTACATCTTGTGCCTTTACGAGAGGATCTGCTGCAGGGAGCGGGACTCCAATTAGTGCCACAGCTTCTGATATCCTCTGACAAAAACTGCTGAGCTAATAGCACCTGTCAGAAAGCATGATCAGCGTGTTCAATGGGAAACTAGATTCCTCACTCTGCGGTATTTGTGGGGCTTAAAAGAAGCTGGTGTTTAACATTATAGATTCAGTCTTAACTCATGATTACAGCTGAGGAGACGATACACAGCTCACAGTCCCTTTGGTTTCCGAGCGATATCAGAATTGTCAGCAGTAGCTTGTAGGTTTGGTTAAGTGCAGCTGTTCTCTTGTGCCGTGGTGCAGTTGAACACACACATACGAAGACTAACACGTGTGTGTGTGTTTGTGGTTTTCTGAATTATTGACTTGTTTTTGCCTGATTAGAGCGGCATGCTCACTGAACAGTTGAGCAATCGTTGCTGCTGCAGAAACTCTCTGGAGAAATGAGGGTGAGGAAATGCATGCACACAAACAACAAACACACACAAACACACACACATTCCAGTAATAAGCATCTCTACTTCCTTTGATTAATCTTCTCCTCTATATTTCTTCTCTCAGTTATGTTTTATAGTCTGCTCACGTTGGCTCTGCTCCTCTTTCAGGAGAGCAAGATGAGAGCCTCTGATTGGAAGTTATTAAAAGCGAGCACGCGTCTGTATTTGAGCTGCAGAAGAGGTCTTAAATCAGCACTTTCACACACACACACCTTCTGTGTGTATATCCACGAAACTCTGTGCTAGCTCGCCATGTGCTACGATAACAACCTGTGCTATTTATGAAACCAGAACATGTACCAGTAGTTTCAGAATGTTTAACTGTGCACTCATTTCCTCTTGATGATTTATTTATGGCTGGAAAAAAGCCAGAGACCTCCCTATTTTGGGGTTATGTGCCCGCGTTTAGCCAATCAAATCTTTCACTGCAGTCCTATCAGCTGTGCACATCTGGTCGGAGTGGGCTTGCTGTAATCTGTGGAGCTGGCACAGTGGACGCACTGTTTAGTCTTTTTTCCGATTGGTAGGCTGCAGGTCAGCTGCTGTGTCCATTTAATCATTGGGATTATTTTTTTTATATCTTTGATCTTTGAACTTGGGTTTAAGTGGGCCTTCCAGTACTCCAGCCTGTTATGATAGAGGTCATCGACGGGTTTCCAATCAAATATGTATGTAAATGGGATATAATCTTTCTGCCATGGCGTCCTTTTTGCTCATGGAATAGCTGACTTGCAGTATGGTCGTCTGGCTGAAGCTCTCTGCTACCAAATAGAAAGAATCCTGTTGTTGCTGGCTAATTCATAAAAAGTCAAAATATTTAAATTCTGCTTGTTCTTGTTGATATGTTTGGTTCGCCAACATGAGACTTGTTGTGATTACGATAAAGCCATATGTGACTTTTAGAAATACATCATCATCAATCATTCTGAATAGGAGGTCTTTGATTCTTCAAATATTTTCTTCCACACATCGGGGGAAAAGATGGGGCGACTTCTACATCATTTTTTTCCTACATCAACTTCTTGCCTACAGCGTGAGTTCAATCATTCGGTCAGATCAAAAATGTCTTAACTATGAAATGGCCGTGATTTTGCACCGAACCTTAACGGAAGAATCAATGTGCGACATGTTCCACATAAATAAATCAGAAATCCAGTCTATCCTGTGTAAATGTGTCTCTGAGTCATGACTGTCTACAATGAGTGAGAAGCTCGAGTCCCGCTGGCTGTGTTGTTGTCAGAGCCGTGTTTACATGGACGGGACGGCCGGCTCCTCCCCTTGTGTATAAAAGCTGTTTTAGTCAAGGACTAGAGAGAAGAAGAAGAACATACTCACTGATTATTTGGATGTTAGTAAGAGTTTTTAGATCACGCTCATTCTGTGTCAGTTTACATGCAATGTGAAGCTACGAGCTAACTAAAGAGTGCTAACATTAGCATGCTAACACAACAATGCAGGACACAGGTGATAGCAGCTCGAGCAAAGGACAATTTTGTATGTCGCTTGCACAGCCCCAGTCGTATGTTTTTAGGCTTTTATAGCAGAGTGTTTTTGAGTTTGAGTTATGCTTTAAGGATCATAATGAAGGTACAAAGAAACCTGCGAACACATCGTTACATGAAGGGCTGACGGTCGATACTTCTTAGCTTCTTCTGTAATGAGTTTCATTGAAAATCCTTCTTTTATTATTGAAGGATTCAAATGTTTATATCTCTGTGTGTCTGCATTACTATGTTAGTACTTCTGTTTCCTATTTACACATGGGTGTAATTAAAGTGAAGTGAATGAGCATATGCCCAGGGCTGGATCCTAACAGAAAGCTCAGTCGTGTGTGTGTGTGTGTGTGTGTGTGTGTGTGTGTGTGTGTGTGTGTGTGTGTGTGTGTGTGTGTGTGTGTGTGTGTGTGTGTGTGTGTGTGTGTGTGTGTGTGTGTGTGTGTGGTGTGTGTGTGTGTGTGTGTGTGTGTGTGTGTGTGTGTGTGTGTGTGTGTGTGTGTGTGTGTGTGTGTGTGTGTGTGTGTGTGTGTGTGTGTGTGTGTCTTGTCTCTGTGCTGGCACCAGCTCGCCGACCCGCTGTCTCCGTCTGCGGTTAACTGAGCTCTGTTCAGCAGGGAACATCACTCTCTTTCCTTTTCATCTCCCAGCACTGACGTCTTTCTCAAGGTTTTTTTCTTCTTTGTGAATCTGCACCACTCCGTTCCATTTACTCTTACTTCTGTCGAGCACTCGTCCTCTTGTCTAAAGCAGTCCACTTCATCTCATTCCTTCCATTCATGTTTCCCTTCCTCTTCCCTCCATCCTCGCTAATCTCTCCCCCCGTCCTATCAGTGCTGATAATCCCTGCTTAATGTAATTGGGCTTCATAATCTTTGGTTAGCAACTATCAACCTAACAGTCAGCCTGGCTGTCTCTTTGTCCGCACTAGTGCCCCCCCCCCCCTTCCGTTGACATCCCGTCTCCCAGGGTAGCCAATTAAATCTGGATCGTCCCAAACTCCCTTCAGCCTAACGACCTGCTGATGACGGAGCAGAAAGGAGCTAAACATCTTTCCTCACATGCCTGCAATCGAAGTGTATGTTTCAAAGTTATAAGAGGGGAGTGGATTGATGTTGACGACAACTGCTGATGCAACGTGGCAACAAAACTGCCTTTAAAAAACTAAAATGTAACCGAGAGCGTCCATGTGAAATTCTTGTGAAGCGACGTGGACTTAAAAAGGGAAATGAGTGGGCTCGCTGCTGGAGATGCCAGATTAACCTTAACCTTTTTCCGCCAACACAAATCTGGTGCATGCTTTAATCACATGAGGGCGTTTGTTTTAATGCTGTATTCCTGAACCAGTACACAATCACTATGGAAACAGTGTGCGTGTGTGTGTGTGTGTGTGTGTGTGTGTGTGTGTGTGTGTGCGTGTGCGTGTGCGTGTGCGTGCGCGTGCGCGTGCGTGTGTGTGTGTGTGTGTCTTTAATCTGCATGCTCTGAGCTGCAGCATGCACATATTTGTCTTTATGAAGCTGTAATCTTCAGTCATCCCTAATCTATGATATAACCGACTGCTCCTACCGCCGCCGCCGCCCTCGTCCCTTTGTGTTGTGTGCGTTTGTGTTTCTGAGCTCTTATGTGTTTGTACTCTTCCTGCATTTGTGTGTGTCCCAAGGCAATAAAAAAAATCTATCCTCTTTTTAAATCTCCATCTCTTCTACCAGAGCCCACACATATTCCTGAGCTGTAGTGTTGTGTTAGAGCGACACCTGGTGGGAGAGGAAGAAAGTGGCCCTCACATGCTGAAATGTACTGTTCATGTTATAATATTTCACAAGTGACAGCGTGTCCCGTACACAGGCAAACCAAAAACAATCACCCAGTGTTATGTAATAATGTTACTTATTTATAACGGCAGGAGAGGGCGAGTTAGAGTGGTTCGATTACAACAAGAATCCTAATCATGATTATTGAACATTTATATCACATGCATTTATTGAACTTCAAGACTCTTTGAAAGCACTTTGAAAAACATAAATCTAACATAAATCTATCTGGTAGAGGGGATGGACTCTTGTGTCCAGAATAAAACAACACTGAACATTTTCCACACATAACAAAAACCTTTGAGCTGCGACTTTATAGCACATCGATCCATTATCTTCACCGCTGTTGCTGATCCCCCGCTGTCATTTGGCAAGAGGCGGGGTTACAGCCTGGACTGTTCTCCAGTCAATCACAGGGCTGACATATAGAGACAGACAACCAGACACAATCACATTCACACCTACGGACAACTTAGAGTCACCAGTTAACCTAACGAGCATGTCTTTGGACCGTGGGAGGAAGCCCACAGTGGAAAAAACTGAAATATTTTTTGAGATCAGAGACAAAATAAAAGAGTGGAAAAGGATTTTTTCAAGGATGGACATTGCATCTCTTCAGGGTGTTTCTCAGGGAAGCAGCCCAAAATCTTGTATTTTTTGTGCCAAGTTTTGGTTCTTGTGAGCAACTCAAACTTTTACTTTTCTTCCGATGTTATCCCCTCCCAAAGATTTGTCTCTGAACCATCAGTGTCCCTAACTCGTTGTAAGAGAGTAACTTCTCTGCTTCAGTTTGAGAACGCCTGTGTTAGTGTTCATGTGTCTCTTATTTACGCACTCTACACACACTCATACCTTTCATCCTTCTCCCCCCTCAGGAAGCCTTCCCACCCTCTCCTGAACCCCTTCATCAGTCACATGGGCCTGGGAGGACGTGGTCACTGGGATTCGCCTCTGAGCTCTGTTCCCCGTCTGCCCAACCACAGTTCCTGTGAGATGGGAGAACTCACACAGACAGGTGAGCGAGGGAGGGAGGGAGGTCCCCCCTAGACTGCACATTGTCCTTCTCATCACTACCAAATGTGACCTCTCGTCGACTGCTGTACTACCTTTGAACAGTTAGCTTCCATTTTTGATCTGGAATCAGTTTGTAGAAACGTCTCTCCACCAATCAAATCGTTCTGTTCTTTCCATCAACAACTTGATGTCTCAATAAATGTTCTTGACTCTTTTCAGGTGTTGTTCAGCATCTACGCAATGGGCAGCTCCTCCAACAAGCCTACAAGCGTCACAACCTCCTCCCCTCTAACTGGTCGCCCCGCCAGGTGTGGGTCGAGACCACAGGTAAGAGCCGCACCCTGCAGAGCGGACTGGCCTTCTTCTACGGATTCCTGCCAGACTTTGATTGGACCAAGCTGACCGTGCGCCACCAGTGGAGCACGTTGTTTTGCAGCTCAGCCTGTGACTGCCCCGCCAGGAACCGGTACCTGGAGGAGGAGCAGAGGAGGCAGTATCGGCTGAGAGTGAGCGATACCGAGCTGGAGAGGACTTACGTCGAGATGGCTCGGACTTTGGGTCTGCTCACCCGCACACTCCGAGCTGCAAACCCTATTGACTCTCTCCTGTGCCACCTGTGCCACGGCATTCCTTTCCCGTGCGTTCCCGTGGGAGATAGTGGTGCCAGTGGATGTCTGACAATGGCGCAGTTTGCAGTGATCCGTCGCCAGCAGCTCGATGATGAGGTGGAGCGTAGAAAAGTGGGGCTGTACCGTAATTATGCCATCCTAGCCATGTATCCTTACCTCAACAGAACTGCCAACAAAATGGAGCGTGTTGCTAAGGACAACGAGGCTGGTCGTCAGCCTCGTCCCGGTGGAGAGGAGGTCTTCACCCTCTCTTCAGCGCATGACGTCACCATGGCTCCATTGCTGAGCGCTCTGGGACTGGAAGAGGCCCGCTTTCCACGTTTTGCAGCGCGCGTAGTCTTCGAACTATGGAAGAGTCCCCCGGCGACGCAAGGACAGCCGAAGAAGAAAGCCGGCAAGGGCGGGAAGTCGAAGGCGAAAGACGGGGAGCTGTTCCTCAGGGTGCTCTACAACGGCGAGGATGTGACATTTCACACCACCTTCTGTCGCTCCCATGACCGCCACACAGGCCAGCCCCTCTGCCCTCTGAAGAACTTCCTGTCTTATGTCAGGAGAGACATGTTTAGAGTTTTCAACGCCACGTCCTACCAGGAGGCCTGCTTTAGGCGCCCTGTTTGACCGATGGACAGATGGTGCGGATGGTGCCTGAGTGGAAGACAAGACTTGGCAGATGGTTGTTGTTTTTCTAGTTCTCACTTTTAAAGTCGGTGCACTTTTTTGCTGCTCTTACAGTTCCACATATTTTTAACCACAGCCCTCTGACATCGCTGAGCACGAGGAGAGGAGCAAACACGCAGGACTGAAACTTTGCTGATGTCGTCACTTTCTAACATTTTCTACATTTTTAAATACGGTACTGTAAGTTTTCTAAAGCATGTCTCTAACAGGCGAGTAGTTTAAGAGAAGCTGAATGGCACTTAGCCACTTTATTCACATGTTCCATAAACCGTGGAAATGTAAAAATCCAGTATTTTCTAAATGCTTGAAGAAACATGGAGGTCGATGCTGGAAACACTTTGCAGGAAGAATCATTCCTTGGAAATATTTATGTCTTTTTACTGACATTCACAGTAGTGTTGTTGTTCTCGAGACCACCTTTTGAAGGTCTCGGTCTCAGAATCTAAAACACCGGTCTCAGACTGGGCAGACTCCAGATTTTAAATCAAGACCACCACTGATCGGCTGTTTTTCCACATCATTACTGCGATTAGAACGAAAACTCCTCTTTCCAAAAGAACGAATAACTTCAATTCATTCATAATTTGATTTTTATCCAAATTATCTCGACCACTTCCAGGTGCATTTCAGGATGACGGTGATCCAGTTTGATACGCTGCTCTCTGTAACCGCACATTAAAAAGAGAACACAGTATGACAGTATGTTTGAGGTAGGGACACACACACACACACACACACACACACACACACACACACACACACACACACACACACACACACACACACACACACACACACACACACACACACACACACACACACACAGGGTTGGATGCAAAAAACTCAGAAAATCAAACTTGTTCCGAAATGAATAATGACTAAGGTCAGTTTGCAAACACGATTTACATAACATGTGGTCGTATCTATTTTTTAACATGCATCAATTTCAGGTGGAAAAAAAACGACTCGTGTGCAATGGCCTTAAGTGAGTGACACGCCTGCTGCACACAAGATGATGATTCTTCAGCGATATTTATGGTCTCGGTCTCACCCTGCCTTGGTCTTGACTCAGTCTCCATCCCTTAATGTCTTGGCCTTGTCTCGGTCTCTGAGTACTCTGGTCTCGGGTGTGTCTTGGTCTCGGTTAGTGTGGTCTTGACTACAACACTAGTTCACAACCAGAACTTCAATCCCTCAGCGTTTCTTTGGATCTTAAAGTCGATTCTTTGAAAAATAGGCCGTCAGTTTAACTTTAAGGGATCATTTTAACTTTGACATTTCAACTTCTTTTGTTTGAGTCCAATTCTCTCTGTTCTTTTGAAAAGAACAGTTTGGGTAGTTACAGATCATCTGCACGTTTACAATGACATTCCACTTATTGTTTGTGTTTGTAGGAAACTGAATCTAATAAAGTTCTTCATGAGCAGAAAGATATCAGTGCAGCTGGTGTGACAAGAAATGGTCTCATTTATTGCGTGTAAGTACGAATGGTCGAGTGCTGGAGTGAAAGGCATTTACACTATATAAAGGCATTTTTCTTTGCTGTCACTTCTATTATTCAACCACTGGGTGGTGTGTTAGCTCCACAAACCGAGTCCTTCCCATCTGCTGCAATCAGTTATCCACTTTGTCAACAGTGCTGCAGGGAAAGAAGCACATAGTCGATACATTTATATAAATGTAAAAACCCTGAGTGCCTTTTTCTCCCCAGCCAGCAGACGCGTCGTGTGTCATCATCATTAGGGACACAATAAGACGCTGACATGATATCAATTGTACGGCTCATTTTCAAAAGTGCCTCAGTGTGCTCGCACTGCGTTTCTTTCCATCCAGGATCCTCAGAATCAGGAAAGCATTGAATCGAAAAAATGCAATAACAAGAGCAAGTTTGGTAAATGACATTTTGCAGTGTATGGACTTTGATTTGTCCTGGCAGGAGAGAGGGATATTTACTGCAGAATAAATGAGTGCACGTTTGATGATGTGGAGAGGAGAGTTCATCACAAGCAAAGAGCCTTCAGTTTGAAACACAAGAGGACAGGTGTGCTTAGAGGTTATAATGAAGATTAATCAAAGTGTTTTTTTCATAGATTTAATTAATTTGATGTGTTTTAAGAGACAAGCTAGAGCTGCCCTTCCACTTCAAGAAGTTTCTGCAGGGAGCAGGGACTAACAGCAAGTGGGGGGGGGGGGTCTCTGATAGTTTTTTGGGTGTGGGTTCCAGAGAGTGGGAGCGGCAATGGAGAATGTCCTGTATCCTGAAGACCAAGTAGTCCTGGGTGGGGAGAGGAGGTTTGCATCGGTAGACCTTAGTGTGCCGGTGGAGAGGCTCTGACAGGTAAGGGGGGAGCCAGGTTATGGAGGGATTTATATGTGGTAATGTTTAAAGTGGATACACCAGGGGATGGGAGCCAGTGTGGTCACGTGTGAGAAGGCGAGCAGCAGAATTCTGGATATATTTGTTGTTTCATTTTTTTCTTTTTTTGAATGATGGAACGTCGATGAGTAGCAGTAGTCCAGTCTGGAAATAGTCCAGTATACAAAGACCCTTTCACACTTCACACAGCTCTTGGTGCCTTTGATGGAAACGCAGACAACAACGAGCTGGGGTAAACTTTAAGTAGTAGCTACTTGATCACCTTCTTTCTCACCCTTACCTTCAGCTCACCTCCGATTCCCAAAGTTGAGCTAAAAAGCATAAATCGATGCAAATTTATTCCCAAACTTCCCCGCTCGTATTCCAAACCTCCCCGGCCACTTCCTGTGTTATTCTATGACATCAGGTTTGTAAATGATATGAGCTAACCTTCCCTGACCGACCCGATTCCTCCGACCTCCCCCACCAACGCCTTTCCCTCCAGGCTCCTGACACCCCACTGCCACCCACGCCTCTGATGTCATCCGGCCAGAGTGAGGTGGAGCAGCAATTTTCTCCCGCCACAACTCGCTCAATCTTTGATGTTGTTACATCGCCTCCAGCTTTGGCTCATACACCAGCGTCTCAGTGTGTGTGTGTGTGCGCGTGTGTGACGAGAAGGGTAAAGGCAGATCAAGGTGAATGTAGAGAGAGTGTGTGTGTGTGTATTTTTTGTTTTTTTTAACATGGCTCGATGTTTACGTCAGCCTCTTTGTCTAGCCTCAGAACAGTATCCACTCGACCCAGTCTGGATACAAAATCCTGCATATAGATCACTTTAACACACATACATTGTCCAGTATCCCTGGTTACTTTGTGCGTGTGTGTGCGCACGTGTGTGTTTGGTGAGATGATGGGAGAGACGGTGGACCGACAGCTTAAACAGCAGGAGAGGAGAATTGTGGTCAGAAGCAAAGACTGGAGAGAGGGAGAGGTTGCGGTTATGGATCGACTTTATGGAATCATCCTCCGGACTCTGCTCAGTCCAAAACCACAGTTTGGAGGAATTAGCGAGACACAGATTAGATTTCATGTTGTGAAGAGGTTACTGAGGATGAATCGGAGCTATCAGGCTCCGTGGTAAAAGAAGCCAACGTTTGACCAAAAGGAAACCGCTCAAGTCCATCTTCCCACGAAAAGAGCCAGTTAGAGACTGTGTGAGGCTGACATGTTATTATAGATTTCACTCTCAGACCTCGTAGTGCACACACACTGATTATTCAACAAATAATGGAACTATGTGAGGTTCTTTGGGACGCTGTTCGATGAAGTATTACTCTCTATTTGAAGAACTTAAGAAGCAATGTTGAAACTATTTGGGAAAAGCTCTTCTTTGCATTCTAGCTGAGATGAACGATGAAAACTTTAGCCCTGTTCAGACCGACGTGTCGGAGGTCGATATTTACATCCCTGTGACGTTTCGCCTTCAACGAGTGTTGCTGAGGCGTAATGCAGAAACTAAGTGATCCCCCCCCCTGTGCTGCCTTTAGAGATAGTAACAGAGGAGGTTACAGGGGCGAGAGGGGATCAGCAGAGCCAGCGGGGGAGCGCAGCGCTGTGTGTGTGCATGTCTGATGGTGCGTTACATTTGATCTCGGAACTCGGAAATCCTGAGTTGCCGGTCTGATGCGTCATCAGAAACTCCCTCCTGAAGCCGGATTTCCGATTTGTAAACTCAGAGAACCTTTAGTAGTTTGAGTTAAAATCCAACATGGCTGCTACGTTAAGCGGTATTTATAGTGTTGATTAGCAGCTTCTGTGAGAGAGAGGGACCAGAAGAGTGTGTGTTAAGTTGATGGTCAGCTAATTTGGGTCTGCAGAGTGTCTAGACTGTGCCTCTAGTTGTTTTTTTCAGTTGTGTAATGCTTTATTAAGTCCTTTACATAAACAAACATCCCAGCTACCACTCATGTATGCGTCACCCATTGAGTCCTGCTGCACACCTTCTGGCTGTGTGTGTCTCCTTGGGTGTGCCACTTACCTGTTTGTGATTTATGGAGATGGGCTCCGGCTCTCGTTAGCTCCAATAATCCGGATTTATGGGGCTCTCTGTGCCGTAAGTGAAGGGCCACAGGCTTTGCCCCACACAGACGCACACGGCCGAGCTAATTGAGTTTGGTCATTACTGTCTCGCTCTCCTCTATCAAGAGCTCGTTTGTCCCGTCCTCCATCACATCCCTCACACACACACACTCAATTAAAACAGAATGTGGATATAACTTTCCTTTTCTTTGCATGAAATCTTTGAACACTTTTTTTAAGTGTCTGACTGCCACTTTGTTTCAAGTGTGTGTGCTTAAACATGTTAATTTCTGCCGTAAAAACAGGGGGCCTCTCTTAAAGGAGTTGTTTGAGTGTTTCCACTGCTGCCTAAAGTCCTGGGAAGTTTATGCAAATCAGGCTGTATTTTTTTGCAAATGACTTCATTGACTAACAAAGGAGACGAGTGCTGTGTTTAGTGTCATCAGAAAGGAAAGAAGACTAATGAAATTATTAGAAGAATCAATCTGGATACCTCACTTCCCCCATTTCACCAAACACATAAAAAAACATGTTTCAAGTTGAAAATGCTATTTACGCCTGTAATGAATTTCTTAAGTTATTTTGGGGGAAAAGTATTTTTTTGATTATGACATTTAAACATTCAGTTTTTTTATTGTGAATACACAAAACCTTTGAAGGGTTCATTTTAAAATTCTGAAAAAGATGAACAGTCCAAATGTAATATATAATATAATTGTTACAGAGGTGTAAAAGGACTGTGTGAACTGCATATCTGGCTGAGTCATACTTCACACTTCGCTCCAGGTGTGTCTGTAGAAACATGGATGCAGACGACTTCTGTCCTTTAAGAGCTTTAATGTTCCTTTCAAACAGAGTACAAACACGATACAGGTCTGAAGTGTGAGATAAGTAACAAAGGCTTAGCTATCATGCTTTACTATTGATGCACAAAGTATTACATACAATCTTATGTACTTCTGAATTTACTTCAAAATATAAATATAATAATCTCCAGCAGACTTTAATCTAATAAACTAAGGCACTCCTCAATAAACAAATGGGCTAATTATTCAAACCGTCATTTAGGCCACGCGTATTAAAGGGGACATATTATGAACAATCCACTTCTACAGTGTTTCTGAACATATATTTGGGTAACCCGAGTGTCTACCGACACACAAAATGTGAAATAAACCCATCCAGTCCTTTGTTTGTGGTCTGCATAAATCTTACAACACAGAAAAATGCTCTGTTTCAAATGTGTTCTCCTTGTAATGTCACAGTGGGATTCTGGTAAAAGGGTCACAAACCTCCTCTGGTGCTTGATTCATGTTATATTTTGACCAAAGCACAGCACAGATGTTTCATTTAGACCACAGGGGACTGTTTGAAAAGGTGGAGAAGGGGGATAATATGTCCTCTTTAAGCTAGAAAAAACACAATCTAGCAATCAGAGAAAAACAAACTACACCAAATCTTCAAATAGGGTTAAAAGTCAAACAACAGAATAAATGTACTAATAACTAAATACAACTTACGCATCTGTAGTTTTATTTAGCTTGGACGTAATTGTTCCCCCTAAATTTGCCTCCGTTTCTACTGCCTTGGCTCTTGCAGGTTTCTGAGAAACTCCTCTATTTCTCTGCACATTTTGCCTCTGTCTTTAGTCTTCTCCAGGATTTGGATGCTGTCCTTACGGAAGTAGGATTCTTCTGGTATTGCTGCTGCTTTCATGTGATACTGTATCGACCTGGGGATATCATTTAGCTGAAAGTTTAAGAACTTTGCGTATTTGTTGTACAGCACCTGTTTGTCTCCAGGTTCCAGATCACTTTCCAGCAGCTCCTGAAATATCTGCTCAGCTCTGGCCATGCCGTGACGGGACTTTGCATGGATAATTGCAAGGTCAACTTTCACCAGGAGTGAAGAGTGAGGGTAGAGAGAGATCACCTCCTCGTGGAGACTGATGGCTCTGTCCATCACGCCTAGTCTTAGGGGGGACCCCCTGGTGTGCATAATTTTGTTTCTGTAGGAGTGTGCAGCACGTCTCTTCAGATAACGCTGATCTGGATGTCTTTGCAGAGCCTCTTCTGCCAAAACAATGGCCTCATCCACACTTAAGTGCTTATGGTAAACCCTAAATAATTCTCTCACACAATCGTAGCTACAGACGGGAGTTCCAAAAACCTGTCTGGCTATCTCTCGGACTTCATCTCGAATGTTTTCTTCTTCATCAGCACGTTGCTTAAGGTAGAGAACAGCGAGGTACAAGTTCTTTGGATCCTGTTCCTTGGCTTGTCTCATTTTCTCCAAGAGGTCAGGGTCCAGACTTGTGTTCTTGACTGATGCTAAGACATAGCTGGTGTTCCACTCTACCATGTCCGGCTGCATCCTGGTAGCTTTCTCAAAGTACTCAACAACCAGTGTCATGTCTCCTCTTAAGAACATCAGGGTCCAGGCTTTTTCAGCGTAGATCTCTGGATGGTGCTCGACCTGGGATGGAGATGGGTAGTTTTCCATCAGGGCATCAACCTTTGACAGGTAAGCCTGACACTCTGCTTGATCTCCCAGGTGGTGGTGCAGCCAGGCCAGGTTCCCGTAGTTCACCACTAACCAAGGACCCTCATCTGCTTTTCTCAGCTGGTTAAGGATCTCTGCAGCCTTCTGGAACAAACTCTTAGCCTCTTCATTGAACCCCAGCTTATACTGAATGAACCCCCACAGGTTGTAAATGTGGCCCAGCCATCGGTTTCCCTCCTCTGTGCGGATGTCTTCCATCTTGTCACTGAGAAGTAAGAGTATTGACCTTCTGCGGTCCAGGTCCCAGGTGAAGTGGCACTGCAGCGACTTCAGTGTGGTTTGACTCTGAGCAGCACTGATGGAGAATAAAAGTCAAAAACACATTCAAACACATCAGCACGTTTTGATATGCTTTGAGGTGTGCTATGTTTGGATGTTTATAGTTCATTTCACATGAAGGAAAGAAATGTGAAAACTTCTATTTTACAATTTTAATAAATAATAAAAGGAGCAGAAGGAAATGGTTTGAGAGCTAATGATGAGATAATTAAATAAATTGTGTTCATGCAGACACTCACCTCATCTTTCCTGTTTCTTCCACTCAGTATTTCTCTGAATATAACTTAAGCAGATGTTTGCGACTGATGTAGCTTCAGTTCCGGTGATGTCAAGATTCTGCTCTGCTGTAAAGGCTGTGATGTCTGCGTGCAGCAGATTCAAATCTTCTGAAGTCGAGGCAAATCTTTCAAAGACGTGTCATTTGGGTGTCTTATATCCACCTTTCTTTATCAGCTCGGTGTTATCTGACTTTCCTCTCCAAGACATACAAAACATAATGACACACACAAAAGTCTGTCAAAGCAAATAATTACGGATAACCACAACTCGTTAAAGAAGGAAAGTGTAACTCTGTGTTTATGTTAAGCTAAATTTAAGTTCAAGTTTGGCTCCATCAAAAGGAAGAATCTCATTTATTTTGGCAAGATAGCCGTAATAAATATGTGAAGGTTCTACGTCTCTAATCAAAGAGAATCAAAACAATCCTAGATACCTTTTCAGAACTGTAGCCAGGCTGACAGAGCTCCAATGAGCCATGTATTCCTTTAGCCCTCAGCAGTAATGATTTCATGAACTTTTTTAACAATAAAATTCTAGACATCAGAAAAAAAACGTCTAACTCCTGCTGTTACCTGGTTGCAGATACATCCTATAACTCTGATACGGCAGAAACAGTTCCAAAACCACATACTAAAGAGGAGATATTATCCCCCTTGTCCACCTTTTCAAACAGTCCCCTGTGGTCTAAATGAAACATCTGTGCTGTGCTTTGGTCGAAATCAAGAATCAAGCACCAGAGGAGGTTTGTGACCCTGTATAAACCAGCTCTCTCAGAACACTCCGTTTTGGTGTGTGTGTCTCTTTAAATGCAATGAGCCCCCCCTGAGTCTTCTAGGTAGACATCACTCCTCTGTAGCGAGAATAAAAATGGTGGACCTGTTTAATAATTTTGTTCTAGGCTTGGAGTGGAGTCCATTGGTGGAGATACCAGGGGAGGGGAGGGAATTTTTTTTTAATCAGAATCCCACTGTGACATCACAAGGAGAGCAAATCAGTAACGTAACATTTTTCTCTGTGTTGTAAGACTTATGCAGACCACAAACAAAGGACTGGATGGGTTTATTTCACATTTTGTGTGTCGGTAGACACTCAAGTTACTCAAATATATGTTCAGAAACACTGTAGAAGAGGATTTTTCATAATATGTCCCCTTTAACCTCGACTGATTTCCTCCAATCGTCCTTTCAGAACTAAATTCAATTATTTCTGCGTCTAAACCGCCAACCTGTCTTTTAGACCCTGTGTGTGTGTGTGTGTGTGTGTGTGTGTGTGTGTGTGTGTGTGTGTGTGTGTGTGTGTGTGTGTGTGTGTGTGTGTGTGTGTGTGTGTGTGTGTGTGTGTGTGTGTGTGTGTGTGTGTGTGTGTCACTTTGGTAGTCAGACTGACGTCTCATGCTTTGTTTCAGTGTCACGTGTCTTTATAACCCCTACCCGCCTGTCTTCGCCTTCTATCTTTAGTGTTGGCACTCAGTGAATGTCTGAGTGCGTCTCTTGCTGGGATTGGGTGAGAGAGACAGAGTGTGTGTGTGTGTGTGTGTGTGTGTGTTGCATACAGTAAAACAACCTCTTGAATGAAAATGTCTTGGAAGGACCCCCCTTCGTCGATCCAGAGAGGAAAAACTGAAAGGGAGAATAAGAGTGACAGACGAACGAAAACCAGCATACATAGCGAACACATGAGAGCCATAGAGATGCATACTGATGTACAGCGAGTCGACGGCGGGTAGTGAGAGATGGAGTAAAGAAGAAGCAGGAGGAGAGGGGGGGGGGTGTTTGGTAAATGGGTCAGGCCTGTCTGCCATCCCAGGCACATACACACAGCGTGCAGCCCCCAGAGAGAGACCCAGACTGTACAACACGGTGCTGAGAGGAGAGACGACAGGAGGAGAGGAAGAAGACAGAGAGGTGGGAGACGAGAGGAAAATATGATGAGGTGGATGGAGGAATGTGGATGGATCGCAGGAAATGGGACGGTTAGCTACATGTAGATGGACAGATGTGCTGTTAGTCTGAAAGTTAACCACACAAAGACGAATGTTATCGGGGGTTAACTGGCCATGCCTGTAGTTTAGTTTAGGGATTTATCTGCTGTTACTTTGAGATGTCAACCATTGCTTCTGTCCAAAACGAGTTTAAAGGTAAACACTATTTCTCTGACCAATTGAAGACGATGACTGGGTTTTAACCAAAGTCCACGAGGAAATCTCCTCCTGTCACAAGATTCTTCACACATTCACACACATTCTCCTAAATGCCTTATTTTTCAGTGTGTGTTTCATTCTGTAGCTCTTTGCTCCTGACGATTGTTGATAACAAAGAGCACAGCATTTCTTAGCGACCCAACTTTCACAAGGAAAAGCACCTGTGACCTGTGCCGGGTCATGTGTTAGTCTCTGACCCATGATGCTGAATGTGAGCGGGCCGCACCAGTCATTTTTTATGGTACGCTGCCGCCTGATGAAAGGACACGGTGAGCTTGCTTGCTGGACTGGAACTGCATCAAAGAAAAATAGAGAAGAAAGGGGAACAAGCCGGCCCGTCACTGAAGTGAGAACTGCTCCATGGATGCTGGGCGCGAACAGATGAAGGGGTTAATCTCGTTTGACAACACAAAACAATGAGTAATGACAGCGACGCCTCCCACTCCCTCCGCTGCCTTTGCGTTGTTTCTCTTGTAACTTTTTTTTTCCTGAAGCATGGCCTTATTAGCTGTACAGCCTCTGCTGCACTGGGCCTCGTCTGCCTCCATTGCCTGCTGCTCGCTGGCCGTGTGTGCCGAGGTAAACACGTTTTGGGAATAGCAGCCAATCCATCACGGGGCGTCATGCTGAAATGTTTCTCCCCTGGGGCTCTGCAGTGCTGCCGTATCAGGTGGAAGGCTTCCACTTCCTGTCTTTGTGGGCAGGTTCCTGGCCGAGGGGGACAATCTCCACATTGGACCCTGGAGGGTTCAGCAGTCAACCCATGGGCAACAATACCTGTTCCATAGAGATCCAGACGGCGCCACTCTGCACCCTGTGGAAGGGCGTGTGCAACTGTGTGTTAGTATTCACCGTGTGTGTTTCTTCATCCGAGAATAAAGCTGCACCGACCAGTATTTGCAGGCATGCTAGTGTGACCTGGAGGTGGAAGTAGCAGGTTAAGTCATTATGCGGTACAGCACCCACAATGTCATGATACAGCAATTCTGTGATATCTGATATATGGCAACGCAGTCGTATAACAATGCAGCACGTCACTGATTAACATAAGAAGACAAAACGCCCTCAGAAAGGTACATATATTCATATCATCTACAACTTGGTGTCAGTCACCGCTGCCCAACATCATCGTGCTGTCCTCTTCCTATTTTAACCAGCTTTCCGCTTCTTTTTAGCCCAATTACCTGGCGCTCACATTACCCTCATTCATGTCATTAGTGCCACCGTGAGGAGTCATGGTGTAGTTGCAGGGATATCTGTTAAGAGGACCCTTTGAATTAAACTATCAATATCTGGCACCCTATGATAGATTTCTAGATAGACCCCCGGTATGACTGCACATGCACCGAACATGTTCTGTCAAACTCTGATTGTGCTGCATGGCTGAGTCATGAACAAGGGTGCATGTCAGTATCTCCCTCTCACACACACACACCGCTCACTTGTTCCTCAGTGAGGTGCACAGATTTTAAATTGAATCTCTCTCGTCCACGCTGTGGGTGACCTTCCCATTCAGAGCTGAGGAGAGTGCCAGAAAGCCAATACCGCCAGCCTGATTTCATTCTCAGGACCAGACAGTGGCGAGAAGGGGGAGAAATCCAACGAGACTGAAGAAGCGAGACGCCCGGCTCTGAATCCTCACGCATTCCCTGGTCCCTTTTTCGACCTCCTCGACGGTAGCAGGCATGGAATCAAAATGATTATGAGCCATGTGTTATAAGGAAGCGTTGACACATTAAGATGCTCGGCCTCTGTAAGCGTTGAGGAGAATGTAAAGATTGTCCACACTAATCATCTGATCCTTTCCTAAATATATTATTGGACAGACTTATTAAAGGACATCTGAGCTAATCCGATGGTTCAGTGATTCCCAAATTAGGGTCGGTGGGGGGCCGAAGTTATGAAAGGGGGGGGGGGCGCGGCAGGGCTAAATAAAAACAATGCACACCGTTTTACACATCCAGAAAAGCACTGTGAAAAGCACTGTGAGTACTGAGCACTTCCTGGTAAACAAGCCGGCAGACAAAGAATCTACAGCAGACGTCACAACCCCTAAAACAAAGACAAGAAAACATGACGAGTCATCCCTCGCCCTCATTACAAAATCAAAGCTGGACGTTAAAAATAAACTTAACTGTTAAATTCTACCAGATGCGTGTTCGGTCCAGCAGAGCTCACAGGTTCTTGCTTTATTAAATGCGAGCGCTTCAACTGGCTGCATCCCAGCTCCATCAGTCCCTCTGCAGCAGATACACAAGGCAAGAGTTTTATACCACATACATCGTATTATCTCGCTTATTACCGTGGGAACTCCTCGCTCTCACAACTCCAGGTGTCCGTGCCTCTCTCTGAATATGCAGCCTGTGGGTGTTGACGGACGAGAGAGCACAGAGCCGTACAGGAGCGCAGCTGACAAGTTCTGGATAAGAGGTTCAGTCTCCTAGCTGCACGCCAGACTAAGAAGATCTGTAGCACAAAACCAGCCCAAAGTAGTCGTTGAAACACTTGCAAGACCGGAAGAATCAATCTGGAAAGAAATTTAAGCAATGTCAGTTGTTCCATCTTGAAAATAGGGAAGTTTCATGTCGCAGCGTCATTTTGAATATCTCTCTGTTAAAGTCGTTCAGCACGGCTGCTGTTCTGTTTTCATGCTGAAATTCTGGTCAGAGGACAAAAAATGTTGGAGGTCGGGCAGGTTGAATCTCACCAAAGTCCGATCCTAAAGAAAAGACAAATTCACTGGAATCACAGAAATGTAAGTGTAA